TAGAATAATTATTATTGCTCATCCTTGCTTTTTGCCTTTCCGTGGAGGATTCTGCTGTTGAGTTTCAGAAACTCTTAAAACATAGCAGTCAGAAAAGATCTTGTGTTTTTCTTATGTGAAAGTTCTGTTTGTCTGCCTCCTGCCCCGGGGAGGGAGTGCGGTCAGCTTAAATAAACCTGAATGACACTAGCCATGACTCACTGACCTTATATTGCTTTTGAGTTGCAAGGAGGGGCTGGAGAGCCCTGTGCCAACCAAATCCCTGGAAGGGTGGACCCTGTGTCCAGGAATGATCACCACCAGCCTGAAACGTCTCACAGAGTCAACCAGAGAGCAATTTGGTGACAAATATCCTGGCCCCTAGCCTTCGGGGCTCTGCCTGCCCTAGGGAGTTCCTTCTCAGTGGGGCTCTGAGCAGAGCTTAACGGATGGCAGAGGGCAACTTCCGATGCCAGGCTGCTCTCTCATGTCCCTCTGGGCCACAATTCCTGGTTTTAATGACACTGAATGGAGGTCTCCTTCCTTGCAGTCCAGATAGCTCGTGCAGACCTAAGGAGGCCTGCTTGGTGGCCTTCTGTCCTGATCTCAGCAGCCCCCAGACCCATCAAAGCCGATGCCTTTATCACTACAGGGCTGACGTCAGGGGCAGGAAGGCCCCAGCTGTGCTCCAGGATCCCAGGGTCTGTGTGCACACCAGTACGTGGGGGGAGGGCGGAGGTGACTGCAGCTTTGGCAAGGTCAGAAAAATCCGCAGTTGGGAACTCACTTGCCCTTGGTTGTGGCCACCAATCAAGTGGGTCACACCCCACTTCCTGGGCCCTTTTCCTTCCCACAGCTCACAGAAGGAAAACTACTTCCATGTTTTGAAGCAGGAAAGAGAGTGAGGGAAGCCCACATTTGCTCCCCTCAGGCCTTGTTCTGTCCTGAGAACACTGTTTAAAATATTCTAGTCACAGGCAGCCTATTCAAATAAAATAGAATTTCAAACCGCATGGGGCTTGTTGAGACATTCAGGCTTCTGGGATGTGTGAAATGCAGAGGGTGGGGTGGAGACGGCCCCTGCCACTCTCCCGTCCCCATCATTACCAGCGGCTGCGATGCTAGACACATCCGAGTGCGTCTCCCAGCCAAGGCGGACAGAGCAGGTCTGACAGCGAGTGAGCACATGAAAGCCACCACAAGGCTCCCCTCCCCGGTGGCAACTTTAATTATTTGAACTGAAGCTCCACAAAATAAAAATAAAAATTAAATAAAATCTGAATGTTTTAAGTGGATCTCCAGTTTCCCGCAGAGAATAGATTGGGGGAGGCAAAAAAATAGAACACTCTCTCTTGTTTGTGGCTGGGCTAGGCAGAGGACTTTAAATATTCATGCCCCATATGCAACTGCGCGGAGCGATGGAGAAGGAGACAGTGCCTGCACAAGGCCAGCCAGGGAGAGGTGCCAGGCCAGTAGTGGGGACTGCAAGCATCTGGAGGGAGGGAGGGGGCTGGAGTGGGCATGATTCTGGAATATGCTGGAAGCTGACTGGCACAAAGGCACATCCTGGCTATGTCTCCCCAACTGGTGGGCATCTGACCTGGTTCCAAATGGGCTCTGAGGGGGACTCTCCCAGCCCCTTCTGTCTCTACCACCTATGTTCCCCACCCTGTCATTGCTCACCACTTGGACTCATCTTTCTAAAAGGCACGTTACGTCACACTATTTGGTGCCACGGATGGTGGAGGAAAAACTCTCTGCACGGTCTCTGAATGAATTTCTGTTACAACTGGCAGGTGCATCTATGGTCAATTACTTTCAAGTGTCAGTGTGCCTCCAAATCATGGAGGGCAGGGCTTGAAAACACTGATTCCCAGGCCCCCCTCCAGGGTGTCATCCAGGCAGCCTGGGATGGGGCCTAAGAATCCATCCTGCTTACATTTTCCAAGTGACTGTAACTGGAGAGACAGAGACCTACTAGGCAGGTTGTAGCTAGATTTTTCAAGGAAATGCGCAGAAGGCGTCACAAGTTCCCTTTTGAGAAGTCACTGATGATTGTACGGTTTCTTGAGGGAGTGTTGTGAGATACTCTGCAATTACTTCAACTCCCAGGAGGTGGAGTAACTCTAGGGCTCCCAGGAGTGGTCTGCTTAGCCAGCCTCTTGGTCCCTGTGGGCCTGACACCTGCTCCCAGATGTTAGCACTGGAGCTTAGCCAGCCTCTTGGTCCCTGTGGGCTTGACCTTCACCAGAGACTTTCAGCCATCTCTGCCCTGTACCTGGGACCCCCAGCCAGGCCCCTTGAGGGATGGTGGGGTGTGAAGACCCTGAGTTAACCACACACAGCTCACACAGCGAAGCTACAATCCCTGTCACTGATGTTCGCCAACCTGGGAGGAAGAAATCAACTTCCTGCCTTCTGCATTTAGGATCTGAATCAAATAAATGGCAAGGCTTACAGACCTGGAAATGCATATTTCTATTTCGATTATTTATTTTTCTGATGAAAACATTTCCCCCGAACACTGGGAATTCAACACCCATCAGCAGTAGACGAATGGTCTGAAAATCTGAATGTGAACTAGCTGTGAGCTGAGAATGGAATGGACTCACTGCCTTCCCTTCATTACTCCTGCTGAGTCGAGTTATGGAAAAGGGCAGGAAGTAGTAGAAATAGCCATCAGCAAATTTGACTGGAGGGAAAATAAAATAGGCCAGTAAAACAAAACACCTGTTTAAGCTATAGATCAACCAAAGGTTATCAGGGAAATGAAGTATTAGAAAAATATCATTTTTAGCCTTCACATTTCTTATTCTAAAATTAGGTTCATGTTAAATACAGTGAAGGGTGTTTTTTTTTTTAATTTTTAATGTTTATTTATCCTTGAGAGAGTGAGAGAGACAGAGAATGAGCAGGGAAGGAGCAGAGCGAGAGAGGGACACAGAATCTGACACAGGCTCCAGGCTCTAAGCTGTCAGTACAGAGCCCGATGCGGGGCTCGAACCCACAAACTGTGAGATCATGACCTGAGCCAAAGTCGGACGCTCAACCGACTGAGCCACCCAGGTGCCCCAGTGAAGGGTATATTTAAAAATCAAATGCTTTTAAGGATCCCCCTGACTTCTCAGGAAGGCCAACCATCTCTCCTCATTTAGATTTCCTCTTAAGAAGTCTTTCTTTCTAGGTGATTGCTTAGGGTGGAGGGGGGAGGCACCTGAGAGATATCAGTGATGACTGTATAATCCACGTCTGCGTCACACAGAGTGATTTCTCAAATACAATTTAATGTAATGAATCTATTTATTTGTGCCCTGGCTTATTCCGAAAAGGACTTAAGGTGGCTCCCAGAGATATATAACAGCTAGTAAGGTGATAGAAACTAACTAGAAAAGGGTGAGAAATTGGGTAAATGTTGAGTTAGAAAATCAAACCACAGTAAGGCTGATTACAGACTATACATCATGAACACCTATTTGCTTAGTAAAAGAGGAGCCTCAGACTTAATGAGACCATTCTTCTGATTAAAAAAAATTCACTGATACTTCTTTTGCATTCATATCTGTTTTATGCCAGTGAGTTTTTATTTCACAAAAATCCTGGAGGGCTTGAGTGTGGCTGTGTCCTTTGGCAGCGGAAGCCTGTTTTCTGGACCTCCCTGGGGCTTTGACCAGTCAGCAGAGGGGAAGAAAGTCTGGTCAGTCTCACCATGTCCACAGCTAGAAAGGAAACAAATTTCTCAGGGGGCACATAGCTATTTCTGAAATAAAGCTAGGACAGGATTTCTCCTGTGAGTTTCTAGAAAGAGAAGACTGGCCGGACTGGCCAAATCTCAACTATGTGTTGGCTTTCTATAAACTGCAAGATGTCAATGTGGTGCCATGTGGTGGTGTTAAGAAGCACGGGCATTCAGGGGCGCCTGGGTGGCTTAGCCGGTTAAGCGCCCGACTTTCACTTAGGTCATGATCTCGCGGTTCGTGGGTTCGAGCCCCGCGTCAGGCTCTGTGCTGACTGCCAGCCTGGAGCCTGTTTCAGTCTGTGACTCCCTCTCTCTCTGTCCCTCCCCTGCTCACGCTGTCTCTCTCTCTCTCTCCTAGAAATAAATAAAACATTAAAAAAAAAATAGTCTATAAAAAAAAAAAAGAAGAAGCACGGGCATTCAGGGCTCTCTGAGAACTTAGAATCTGTTTTTAGGCTACCCCATCCTGATTACCTATGTTTACTCAGGGTGCTGGGCACTGCTGGCAATTCGTGCTTACTCTGTGCCAGGTGCCATGATAAGCCCTGTCTAAGTATTAACCTATTTAATCCCCTCCTCTTTGGGGTAGGCACTCCTATTGTCTCACTTTCCAGGTGGGGAAACTGAGGCCCTGAAAGATTATTAACTGCCCAAACAAATTGTTAAGCCAATCACTGGTGGGGTCTAGCTGGGACCCAGGCAATTGATTGCAGAGTCCATAAGCTGAATCACTGGATCATGTTTGGGGTCTAAGCGCATTTCTTGTTCTCTAGAGATTATGACCTTAGGCTAAGAATGAGTCCCCTCAGTCCACACACTAAAAAGGTAACAGCCATAGGAACCATCCAGGTAAGTGGGTTTGGAGAGGAACCTTACTGAATGCCACTGATGTCAGTGAAATTTATGTAGATCAAATTTTTGATGCTCTATAAAATTTGAAAAGCCTTGCAAGAGCTTGATGTTGTAGAATGTCTTTTGTAGATCACTGTTACCCTCCTGTTATGTTTTGGAAATATTTTCTGGGTGTGCTTAGAATGAGGCCCTGCTGCAAAGAGCTCAGTGTGGCTGAGCATGGGGTTTGAGGTAAGATTCTCTGCAGATGGGACTCCACTGTGTTGGTGCACGGTCTCTGCAAAGGTGACAAAACTGTCCTCCTATCCTCCCCCCAGGAGCACAAGCAGCCCAACCATCCAGGCTACTTTGCTGATGTTTGGGTTTGTGTGGAAGCGCCCAAGGTGAGGGGTAGGAGGAGAAGTCCAGGAAGTAGGGGAGCACTGAGACTTGCCTCACATGGAGAGTTCTTCATAGGGGCAGGAAATGTAGCGCTGGTCACCGTAGCACTTTCGGAAGTAGGGACGTCAGTGGTGCTGAGCAACAGGGCATGGCCTGGGGCAGAGAGGAAAAGAGTCAGAAATTCACCATCTTCATGCACTGAAGGGTCTCAAGGTGCAGCATCAACCGCATGCACATTCTTCTCTAGGCTTGGTACACCTTTGAGGACACAGCTTCCTGCTGCCTCCGGTGGATAAGACAGGCTACCTGTCACCGTCAACAAAACTTGGCTTACCCAAAGGTCTTCATTCCAAACAACCTGTACTACCCCAGCACCATACACTTGGGCTACTGCATTCCTGATCTCTCAAGGTCACCAGCTTTAGCCCATGGCCTAAGAGCAGCCTGAGTCACGCTGACCTCTCCCAGCCCCTTCTCTCCCCTTTTACAGTCCTGCTGGCCCTTTGGCCTTCAGTGGTCTCCACGACCTTCACTCTCTTCCACCAGGTCATCCTGTGCCCTGTGACCTGACCAGGAAGTCATATTTCTTGTGTTTTCTAAGTATGGATCTGCATGAAAACTTGGGAGAACATTAGCCCCCAACAACCCCACATGGCAAGGAAGAAGCAACTGTAAATCTCCAGGAACTACTGAGTGTTTTATAGGTGGTCAGTGCTATGGAGATGGGTGTCAAAGTGCTCCCCCCAGCCTTTCAGGTGCGTCACAGAACCCCGTATAGGACTTTACTCATTCAGTTCTGCTGTTCTCTCTTAGCAAAGTCTGTTGTCATTGGGTTACTACCAAGTAACAAACTCAAGTGGGTCCAGAGCAGAGTAACCAAGATGGGTCAGCAATCCTACGGGGCATATGGCCCATTCTTGAGGAAGAATCTGTGACTAGGAAGAGAAAGAGTCTCCTGCGGTGGGTGGGTCGCAACTATTGCCTTCAAATATCTGAAGAGCTGCTTTGGCGAGACAGAGGGTAGTTGAGTTCTGCAGGGCTCCAGGAGATGGAAAGTATGATCCATGGGTAGAACTTACAGAACAGTGGAGCTTCTTTCCAGGAAAGGAACACTAGTCTTTGATTCACAGCAACCAAGGGAAGGGGCTGCTTTAGGAGGTGGTGAAAGCCTGGTCACTAGAGCTATTGAGCCAGGGTTGGATGCTTATTTGCTATGGGTGCTGTTGGGAGCTACCAAACAGAATAGAGACATGAAGGTCACGTCTTGCTTTGAGCTCCATGTCTGTTCTCTGCTCCTCACCAAGGTGCTGAGGATGATACAGTGTGGGGCCGGAAGGAGAAGCAGGAGCTCCCTCGATCCCCTCTCTGCTGAGGGGTTTGCAGAACTCTCCTGGGACTGTGGTGACTCAGCCTGCTTCCTTATTGCCAAAGCCAGCTTGTTCAGGAGCAGTTAGCAAGGATAGGACTGCATGGACTCTGGGATCCTCAGTGGTTGATCAGGACAGGGTCCTTTCTCACACCTTGATCAACATCATCATCATTATTAATTCTTAGAGAGATCCATAGGCTGTATGATCTTTGCTTGGAAAGGGGGATTTGGTACAAGCTATTTGGTACAATAGCTTCACAAAGAGCAGACAAATGCAGAGGAGTAAAGAGCCCCCACCTCTGAGCCCAGCTCTATCCTGCAGAGAGGTGGGCCACAGGGCCTGCCCAGGCCCAGTCACTGGGTAGAGCCCAAGGCTAGGCCCATGGCTCAGTGGTCTCGCTTCTCCAGGAGCCTGAATTTGGAAGCTGTGCTGGCCTCATAGGCCCTCCCTTGTTCGATGCCCCAGCTGTGTCTCCAGGTGTGAGGTCAGCTCACCTAGGTGTGGGTGGCCATTTCAAGCGGAGGAGGAATCTGGCACTGGGAGTGGGGGAGTTGCTAGCTTGAGCTGGGCAGGGATGGTGGGTATGGCTGAGGAAGCTGGGCTCCAGGGAATGGACCAGATGTGGAACAAGATTCTCAGGGCACCACCCTGGTCCCAGTGACACAAGGCCTCCCTGTGCCTCAGCCTCCCCAAAAAGAGCTATGGTTTTCCTTACCTCTCAGTGAGTTATGTGCCACAAACATAGTAGGTCCTCAACAAACACTCATTAAATGAATGGATTATTACTATTGTTGCCACCATTCTTCTTATCTTTTAGTTAATCCTTCATCCAGATTCTCATTTTAAGGAACAAAAGGAGAGACATCTACCTTGGCATTATTTAATCATTCTGAAGCTCCGGAGGCCTGAAGAAGGAACTGTGTGTGAGCATCCCCAGAGCAAGGTTTGGGCAGTCACCTGGGCTTGCCCTGCAGGGTTAGGGAGGTCCAGCTGCTCTGGGGTGGGGCCCTAAATCTCTTGTCTGGCTAGCTGGGCACCAGGGGGAAGGGAAGAGAGCAGCAGTACCTTGGTGGTCCTGGACCTGGGCATCCTTCAGAGTCCTGACCTGCCACCGGGGGGCGTGGGGTGTGAGCGTGCCCTGGGTCCAGCCACAGAAGCCATCCTCGAAGTTGCAGTAAAAACCAGCAGGGAGTTTACCTGCAACAAGAGCACAGGGACATGGTCATTTCCATGATTGCTAAAAGCAAAATATGCCAATGTCAATAAAATTATTCAGGCGTGACCAAAGTACCCTCATCAACAACAGCTCCCCAGCTAGACCCTTGATGTCTAACAATACTGATGATAATGAAAAGAAGTTCCAGTCCTTTCCTTGTACATGTGAAGGTTTACAATTTTCTGATCTTCAGAAAATAAAATGGTACTACTACTACTACTACTACTAGTAATAATAATAATAGTGTGGCAGAATGAGAATAACCCAGTTTTATATGTGAGAGAGGAGAGCTCAGGAATGTTAAGCAATCTGACCAAGGTCACACAGCCAGCAGGTAACACAGCTGGGCTGGAATCCAGATCTTCTGCTTCTGAATCTGTGTTCCTTATTCTGATCCAGCACGAATGTGACCTCAGGAGAAGTCACAGAATAGATTTCTGATGATTGACACAATGACAAGAATGTGATGGTGGCAGTGGTAGAGTTGGTGGGAGTTGGTTGCATCCCTCAGGTCACTTCTGTCTGCAGAGACACATATTGCTCAAACTTTCTATTTGCTGCCCTTCATTTCCCACCTCCCTTCCAGTTAAGGGAAGCCACTTGAGTAGCTCTGGCCCATGAAATGTGAGCAGAAGTGATGCGTGTCTCTTCTGGATTGAGGCTGTGGAGAGGCCCTGTGCAATTCTCTCTCTCCCTGCTGAGGCAGCCAGGGGGCGTTCCTGTTCTTGAGACTGCGGCTGTCAGATGGTGGGGCCTGGGGCCCCAGGAGATCCTGTGAAGCCACCCTGCTTTGGTGCATAGGTGCTGTCAATGTTATGTTAGCCCCTGAAATTTACAAATGGTTTATTACTGCTCTAACCTACCTTATCCTGACCAAGCAATGCCAGCCATGGGACCTCTTCATATCATCTGTTGGCTCAGCATAAAGGGCCCTATTACCCTTTTCTCTACATCAGGCTGACCTCAGGTCCCATTGAAAAGGCCACAGTCAGCTTTATGACCATATATTTCCCAGGTGCCCTCAGAAGGAGAAGGAAAGGAGGAGAGAGCCAGGGAGAGCTCACTTTCTGCAGCTTGCTCAGAGAATGGCTGCAGGGAAGGCACCCAAGCCCTGAGGAGCTGGTGGGCCATTCCAGGCTATTCTAATAGCACCAACAGCCCCAGGCCAGGCTGGGGAGAATCAGCAGTGCTAAGCCTCTAAGCAGGAGAAAAGGCGCTGGAGCTGGACCCACCACTCTCTGTGCCCTTCCTCTGTCTCAGCCTTCCTGGTAATGGCAGGCTGACAAAGAGGGCCCTAACGCTTCCTGGCTGTGACAGCACCTTAGTGAATTATTACTCATTTCCCCCTGATTCTCTGTGCATTTCACACAAGAGGCAGAATTATAAATTAAAACCGGCTGTCACTGACTTTGAGCATCTCTTCCCATTTATACCCCCCTGAAGAAATCATTTTCCCCCCAAGCCCTGCGTGTTCTTCTGATTAAAAATCCAAAAGCTAAGGAGATCTTTCTGTTTTATTTTTTATGCCCCCTCAAGGGACCCCACATCAACTTCTTTTACAAAAACTAACTGGTAGCTGGAAGTGACCTTCCATGAAGTGTCCTTTACAAGCGTGCTTTAAACCAGGGACCATGATGGAAGATTCTAGCAGGCAATGGCTCCTGGTAGAAGGAGGAGCTGGGTTGAAGCCTTCACAGCTTATCACTCCCTCCTTCCCCTTTTAGGAGGCAGAGACAGAGAAGTCAGCCGGACTCTGGATGTTGATACCTCAATGGCCCTTGGATCCCTGGTTTTAGCCCTAACCTGCTGCTTTCCTCTGGTGATTCTAGGCAAGTCACTTCTTTTCCTTGAAGACTTAGCTCCCTCATCTGTAAAATAGGGTAATAGTAGTGTCCATTTCACAGAGATGTTTTGAGGATAGAGTAAGGCAGGGAGTGTGGGATTTTGTAAATAGACAGAGTTGACCAAATACAGAGTGGTGGTTGCAGTACTAGTCATCATTCATTCCTGGCTCAGGGGATTTTGTCAGAGGATGAACTGATATAGCCAACACCATCCTGGGGGCAGAGACAGTCCCTCAGCTGCCTCTCTGGAAATGCCCATGGTAGCTCTGCCTATGCCTTCCACCTGGACAGGAATGAGGAAAGCCATTGGCACTCTCCAACTTCTGGAAGCCCACCCTTGTCCTAGCTTTGCATAAGATCCAGGGTGATCTGGGATTAGAAGCCCCTTTCTTGGCTGATTGGATAAAGAGGAGGAGTTAGACAAAATAGTTGGATTGATGGATGATTTATATGATCCTGGAAACCTTGCAGGGTGGGAGGGGGTGCAGGAGGAGAGCACAGTGGGTATGTGCTCAGGGAGAAGCCACTCTGAGGAAACTGGTGGGGTGGAGGACATCAGAACCTTTGATGGATTAGCCCGGGTTTGGGAACTGCTGTCAGGGCCAATAGTGGAGCACAATGTCGGTGCACAGAGTTGAGTCCAATGGTTTTAACTCCTTTGATCAGAACTTTCTCCTCTCATTTCACCCCAAGCACCTACTCAGCGCTTGCCAAGCTATAGGATTAAAATACTTGCTGAATAAAACAGGAGTGGATTCAGTCATCTAACCCTTTGCTACTCAAAATGTGGCTGAGGAACCAGCCACACCAGCATCACTGGTGGAACTGTTAGAAGTGTGGAATCTAGGGCCACCACCCCCATCACCACCTACTGAGTCAAAGTCTGCATTTCTAATGTTTTCCAGGTGGTTCCTAGGCACCCTGGTGGCTGAGAAGCAGTGCCCTATCTGACCCTCTTACTTCATTGGCTGGACGGCCAAATCAGGCTATGTGGGGGTCAATCAATCAATCCCACAACATTTGGCAATTATGACACCTGATTCCACTGTAAGAGAGACAAATTGGTAGGGTCACAAAGATGTGGCCTCAGCAGAAGCTACAGGAAGCTGCCAAATATAAACTCCAGGCCAAATGACACTACTTCTTTTCCCTCCCCCGTGACAGCTCTGTTAACATTTTTGATAAATATGTGTTATACATTTCCTTGAAAATATAGAGTCATGGGAAAAAATGCTAGAAGAAATACATCATCATATTATGGTTATCTCTGAATGTCTGAAAGGGAGGATTACAGGCAGTAGTTATTTTCTCCTGTGTACTCTTCTAGTTTTTCCAAATATTTTACAACCAACATGTTTTATTTTACAATAAAGAAATAAACTTTGAAAAACTGTTTTCGCTTGTCAGGAAGAGAATCCCCACCAGACAGATGAGATTATTGAGTACATGAAGGGAAGGTGAGTCAATGACCTATCAGGGGATGAAGTAGGGACACTTGACCCTTTTCTGGGGCATCCTATGCCATTGAAACTATTGTTTGACACACAGGGAGCCCTCAAAACACCTTTCTATGGGTTCCAGCATTCTGGGATATCTCACTTGGATCAGCAATGCTTAACTGGAAAGCAGGAAGGGGGACATGTGGTGTGTGGTTTGGAGGACGTGGTGTGAATGAACACATTCATGATTGGGTACAGAAGGACAAGGGCACTGCCACCTCCATTTCAGTTCTCCCACTTGTCCAGGCTTGAACTGTTGCTCAAGATTGAGTCTAATAATCTGAATGAAGCTGTGTGTGGACTTCCTTCTGAAGCAAATGTGCAGAGTTAAGGCTGGGGTTGATGGGATACAACCTACATCCCCCCCTCCCCCAGATTCCAGCCCCCAAATTCCAGCCATGGCAGGGCATAGTTGACTAAATTGGCTAGAGATTCATGAGCCTCATGGGGGTTCCTTAGAACTGGACATTCCCAGCAAGACTTGGGTAACCAACTCTCAGAGAAGACATTCTAACAGGTTCCAGACTAACTGGTAAGGACCAGGTGATGTCAAGACCATTGTCCTAAATGCATCACAAACACCAACACATCAGTGGGCGTCACGTTCCAAATCATATTACAAGTGAGGAAATAGGCCCAGAGGGTGGAGACAAATGATCTGAACCCCCCTCGCCCCCACTGAGAAATGCAGTGGCAGAGCCCTGGACCTTCCCTGACTTTTCCCTTCCTCCTCTTCTTTCTGGGTAGATACGTAGCTAGTGTTGTGCTTGCATGATCAACCACTGGAAACTCAGATAATAGATGAGTCTGGCTTGCAGTGGTTCACACTGGCTAACAGTTTCATGGACTTTAGTTTCCTCATCTCTAAGATGGGTATAATAGCATCTCATAGGATTGTTCTGAGGATGAAATAAGTTCATACATGAAAAGTATCTGGCACCCAATAGATGTTCAACAAATGTTCATCATCATCATCATCATCATCATCATCATCATCATCATCTTCTTCTTCTTCTTTATGGGGATGTTTTCTAGAATTAACATTGGTCAATGTGGTGGGGAAAACTGCAAAAACGCCAGACAGAATGGGACACACTAGAAAGGAAAAAATATTTGCTGAGAGTACTGCCAAGATCAGAGTGACAAAAAGATCGAAATAACCCTCCTTCTGAATTAAACTTCTCCTCCTAGCACCTCATTTCTGTAGCAAAGAACTCAGTAGGGGTGTTCTCCAGAGTGGAACTGTCATTCTGAGAGCTGGTCAGAGCAGCTTTTCAAGTGTGGCTGAAAAGGTCTCTGGGCCCCAGAAACCTGCCCTCCATACTGGAGCCAGGCTGTCCTCAAGCTTGGAGTTGGCCTTGGATATCCATTAACAGCAGCCCTAGAATGGTAAGAGAATGCCTGAGCCCACGGTAATGGGCTGGATCCCACAGGCTCATTGCTCTAATCACGCCTCTGTTCCTGACATGCTGTGTGACCCCGAACAAATCAATTACCTTCTCTGTGCTTTCATTTTCCCAACTGCAAACCAGGGCATGGCCGGCCTGACCTGCATCCCAGCTGGGAAGTGGGTATCAAAAAACTTTAAAAAGACAAAAGCAAAATCACACAGCTCAGACACACTGCTGGAAACACTGCAGAGACCAATAACTAGAGAGACACACACAGACCCCTGCCCAGGGCCGCACGGGTGGGCTGGCTTCATTTTGGTCCCTGCGTCAAGTGAGAGCTTTGTGAAGAAAGGCCAGGGACAGCGTGGGATAATCAAGGGGCTTACCTATCCGTCTTTACTGAGTTTTATCTAAACAACCATGATTCCATCATTATTGGACAACTTCACTGGGAAGTTTTATCTCAAAAGGAAGTTTTTCAAATTGAAAAAATGGATTTTATTTATTGCTTCATTTAAAAGAGAATAAATAAAACCTTTTCTTCCCCAAGGGAAAATCTGTTCTGCAGATGCTGTGGGGGATACTGTTAACTTTTTAAGGCTATTTTGCAGGCCACAATGTCTTGGGGCCAGTGCATCTGAGGGGCGGGGCTTTTGTTCCTGTGTCTGGGCCCCAGAGCACCCCAGACACGCCTCTGCCACATCCTTTCCCTACTGTGACTCTGTGGCTTCGCTCCCTTCCCATGCTGGATTTGCAGCAGTGTAAAGACAGGCACCTGTTATTCATAACCTGCTGTGGGCTCTGGTACATTTTCTAGCTCACAATATATGTGTTTTCGTGCTTTCCCTGGCATACATGTAAAAACCTCTCGAGTGTATACTTGTAACCAGGAAGCTGCCGAGAACGCTGGATTCAGGTGGAGTGAGCACTGGGCTGGGAGTCTAACTCTGTCCCTAACTATCAGTGAAATCTCAACAATTTGCTTGTGTCCACGGAGAGCAAGTTTCCTGACTCATTTAGTCATCTGAATCAACAAATAGTGACCACCGATGCTGTGCCAGGAGGTGCTGGTGTGGGGATGAGAAACAGACCCAATCTGCCCAAAGTGAGGGAGAGAGATGTGGAAACCACCTCCATGAAATGGAATGGATGCACACCCACTAGCATGGCAGAAATAAAAAGACAGATCATAGTAAGTGTTGATGAGGATGTAGAGAAATTAGGTACTTTATAGATTACTTGTGGAATGTCACATGGTGTGGCTACTTCAGAAAACAGCCTGGAAGTTCTTTACAATGTTGAATACAGGGATGCCCGGGGTGGCTCAGTCAGCTAAGTGTCTGACTCTTGATTTTGGCACAGGTCATGATCTCATGATTCACTGAGTTCGAGCCCTTCATTGGGGTCTGCGCTGACAGTGTGGAGCCTGCTTGGGATATTTTCTCTCTCCCTCCCTTTCTCTCTACCCCTCCCCTGCTCTCTCTCTCTCTCTCTCTCTCTCTCAAAATAAATTAATAAACTTTTTAAAAATATGAAATACAGAGTTGACCCAGCAGTTTACTCCTAGGCATGTACCCAAGAGAAAAGAAAATGTCTGTCTATACAAAAACTTGTCCAGGAATGTTCAAAGCAGCAAAATTCATAACAGCCAGAAAGTGGAAACAACCAAAATGCCCATCAACTGATGAATAGATGAAGAAAATGTGCTGATAGCCATACAATGAAATAGTACTTGGCAGTAAAGGAATGAGATTCTTATACATGACACAACATGGATGGGCCTTGAAAACATTATGCCAAGTGAAAGAAGTTAATCACAAAAGAATACATATTGTACGATTCCATTTATATGAAAAACCCAGAATAGGCAAATCTATAGAAACAGAAAGTAGATTAGGGGTTGCTTAGGGCTAGCGGCCCCTGGGGGGCGGGGGGGAGGGCTGATTGTTGGGAAATAAGGAAAGTTGGCTAGGGGTTACCTTTGGAGTGATAAAAATGTTCTAAAATTAGATTGGGGTGATGGTGCACAGCCTTGTGACTATACTAAGAAATACTAAGGTGTATACTGTAAGTGGGTGAATTGTATGGTATATGAATTATATTTCTAAAAAGATGTAAATAAAAAAGGATGGACATGTGGGGGATGGATGGATACACCAATGGGGGGTGTTGAAAGGAGAAGCCAGCTGTATTTGTTGGGGTGGCACTTGTGGGAGGCATCAGAGGAAGCTTCCCAGAAGGACTGACTGGGGGTGACCCGAGAAGGAAGGGGCAGTCTGGGCCTGGGGTACTGCACGAGCAGAGCCACGGAGGCATGTCGGGGCAGGGCTGATACAGCCGGTGCTGGGGCACATGAAGGACCCGGAGGATCAGAGGGCCAGGTGGGTGGTGGAAGATAAGGCCTGAAAAGGGAGGGGAGTCTGGGCGTAGGGGGCATCTACTGTCATGCTCCTGGTTAGGCTTTATCCTGCACATCTTCTCTGTGCCATGAGGATGCTGGCAGCATGAGCTACAAGCTCTTGTTTGGTTCTTAACTTCTATGCTGCTGTTTCTAGATGCAGATCTTAGCTCTGTCTCTTGGAGACAGTGTAGCTTTTAGAAGTCTTCTCTGGGAGCAAACAGGTGGCACTGGATGCAAGGGAGGGTGTCTAAGTTTGTGTGTCCGGGGTGATGGGGCAGGGGGGTGTAGGCATGGGCTGGCCTGGGGTAAGAGAGGCAGCCGCATCTACTCACTGCACAGCTGGCTCTCATCTTCTCCTTGGGCGCAGTCCCGGTGGAAGTCGCAGGCCTGCCCGAGCTGGAGGACTCTCCCGTTCCAGCAGGTGAAGGAACTCTGCAAGGCCATCTTGGAGCCCGGGGATGTTCCTGGAGAGCACACAGAGACACATGCCCCTGGTCAGTTCGGGTGGCCCTGTGGGAAGGCTCAGGGACAGCATCGCTCTGTCCTGCCCTTCACATCCCAAGGTCTGACTGACATGCTGATCTGGCTATACACAGGGCAATACCAGGAGGCCAAGAGGAAGACAAAGCCGTAACACTCTGTCCCCCAGCCCCTGGGGGTGTCGGTCCTCACTTTCCAGCGATGGTGAATAGCAGAGTGGGCCTAGGTTTGGCCCGCATCCCCCTGGCACTCTGGGGTCCTCCAGCCCCAGCTTCAATGTGCCAGGTGGAGAGCCTGTAGTCTCATCTGCACACAGACAACTGTATCCGCAAGGTCAGGTTTGGGGCATATCTGGTCCAGTGTATGTCTCACATGTTCTTGACTCTAGATGCACCATTGGGGTGGTTCTAGAAACATACAGCACTTTCTGTTGTTGGACGAGCTGTGTGATGCTGAACCTACCCCTCCTCTGTCTGGCTCCCTGTCTCTCCATCTATAAGAGGAGGGATTTTGATGATATTTCTAAGGTCCATTCTGAAATTTTTATATAAATCATAAATCTCATATAAATCATATTATTCAGTGGCAGAAAAGAAAAGGAACAATTTATAATGAGCCTATTAGACATTATTTGTTTCTGTATCAGGAACAATGGGTTATGATAACAAATTAACTTCTGACCCCAGAGAACCAGGCTTAAGTTGGCCTGGACCAGCCTGCCCTACTAAACGGGGAACTTTGCCTGGGGACCACCTAGCAAGGGCCTGGCTTGTGTTTCTGAGTGTGCCTCCACCAGGCAGCAATTAGTCTGGGGGGATGGGGGAAGCCTTAGGTTCCTGTGGAGATGAGCAGGCAATGCCCACCCAGGTCGACCGGCCAAGTCCACTGGACTTGCACTCTGTCCTCTTTTCTAGCTCCTCCATGGCTGCTGGTGCCTCAGCAGTCTCCCCACCCCCATCTCACCCACTTCAATGCTCAGCTGGGTGGGGGTGAGGGTGACCAGGATTCCCACTTGGCTGGGTCCCACAGCCTCTCTGAGCTTCATATATGGGGAGGGGGTGCTTCTCCAACTCTGGTTGTGAGATTAGACTCCCTTTATTAAATTTCATTTCAGTGCGCACTCCCAGCTGATTGTGATGTGGGACTCTCCAGGTTAGCTCATCTTTAATATCTAAAATTCCACGATTTTTTGGTTCATTTCAGTTCCCACTGAAACTAACATCAAGTCCAGCCTGTTTATTTCTAGAATCCTCTGTGTACTGACTCAGCATGTCTGGCTCTGTGAAGAAGCTAGGCAAGTCTTAATAGCGACCATTTCCTAAGGGGGGAAACTGAGCCAGGGCAGCTGAGTGACTTCCCTAAAGATGGAAAGTGGGGTGTGGACCCAGCCTGTCAGACTGCAAAGCGGCTCTCTCCATCTCATGGAAGGGGGTGCTGGAAGTGGCCTTGGGCTCCCCCTTCACAGGCCAGTCCACATAAGGCTCAATTTGTCAGTGGTTGGCACATGGCCACAACATTCTCAGATGGGCCTCCAGCCTGTCTTTGTGTTCTATGGAACTGCTGGGCACGGAAAACACAGGCCCTTCTTCCTCCAGGAGATCACGTCCAAGCCCTTTTCCCTGCTCTGCAAGGTCCTCTGTGCTCTGGGCCCCAATTTCCTTTCCTGCCTCACTTCTCAGTGTCTGTCCACACAAACCTGGGCTTGAGCTTTATTTGATGTTTGTTCCATGCAAACTGGCTGTAAAACATGGATGTGTGGTCCCATCTTCTTCACCAAGTTGTCTAAGTGTCTGCATGCTGTCCCCTCAGCCCTAGCCAGTGCCTGGCCCCTACGAGGATTCGTGAAAAGCATGCACATTAGATTACCTTGCCTGCAGTAGGCTGAAAAATGAAAAAATGACATCCCCCCCCCCCAGTAGCCATATTCTAATCCCCCAAACCTGGAATATGTTCCCTTATGTGGTAAAATGGGATTAAGTTAAGGGTCTCTAAATGCAGAAATTATCCAGATTATCCAGGTATGATCACAAGAGATCTTAAAAGAAAGTGGCAAGAAAGTCAAAGAAGCAAGAGATATGATCATGGGAACGAGTCTGGAGGAATGTGAGGAATGGGTCACATGCCAGGGAAGGTAGGCAGCTTCTAGAAGCAGGAAAAGGCAAGACAACTGATTCCCCCTTGGAGCCTCCAGAAGGAGCTGGCCCTGCCACTAAGATGATGTAAGCCCAGTGAAACTGATGTCAGACTCCTGCCCATACAGAATTAACGGGTGTTGTCTTAATGTGGTGGTTTGTTAGAGCAGCCACAGGAACCTATACACCAGCTAAGCCACTGGCTTTAATATTCCAGCTCCAGTCACAGGCTAAGTCAGCCGAGGCCCAGCGTGCATGGCTTTAGATCAACTCCCCTGTTACACAGCTTGTTTTGTGACCTGTGGTTCCCTGGACTAGACATTCTCTGCCTTTCCTCCCCACACAGGAGAAATGACCCTCATCCATCCCTGTGCCTCAAGACACCCTAAGACAATGTCTCTTCCAAATCCCTTAATAATTCCAACTGCAGAGGGCTGCTCAATGGAAAGTCTCCCCCACCCCTCCAAATTCCCAATACTCACACCTGGGATCAAAATACAAAGGGAATGACAGGAGACCTAATGATCATTTTCTTTCTTTCTTTCTTTCTTTTTTAAATATTACTTATTGTCAAATTGGTTTCCATACAACACCCAGTGCTCATCCCAGCAAGTGCCCTCCTCAATGCCCATCACCTACTTTCCCCTCCCCACTCTCCCCATCAACCCTCAGTTTGTTCTCAGTCTTTAAGAGTCTCTTGCTGTTTGCCTCCCTCCTTCTCTGTAACTCCCCACCCCCTTCCCTTTCCCTATGGTCCTCTGTTAAGTTTCTCAAGATCCACATATGAGTGAAACGTATGGTATCTGTCTTTCTCTGCCTGACTTATTTCACTCAGCATAATACCCTCCAGTTCCATCCACATTGCTACACATGGCCAGATTTCATTCTTTCTCATTGCCATGTAGTATTCCATGGTATAGATAAACCACATCTTCTTGATCCATTCATCAGTTGATGGAAACTTAGGCTCTTTCCATGTTTTAGCTATTGTGGAGAGTGCTGCTATGAACATTGGGGTACATGTGCCCCTATGCATCAGCACTCCTGTATCCCTGGGGTAAATTGCTAGCAGTGCTATTGCTGGATCATAGGGGAGTTCCATTATTAAGTTTTTGAGGAACCTCCACACTGTTTTCTAGAGGGGCTGCACCAGCTTACATTTCATCAACAGTGTAGGAGGGTGCCCGTTTCTCCACATCCTCGCCAGCATCTGCAGTCTCCTGATTTGTTCATTTTAGCCACTCTGACCAGCATGAGGTGGTATCACAGTGTGGTTTTGATTTGTATTTCCCTGATGAGGAGGGAAGCTGAGCATTGTTTCATGTGTCTGTTGGCCGTCTGTATGTCTTCTTTGGAAAAGTGTCTATTCATGTCTTCTGCCCATTTCTTCACTGGATTACTTGTTTTTTGGGTGTGGAGTTTTGGTGAGTTCCTTATAGATTTTGGATACTAGCCCTTTATCACAATGCTCACTTTCAAAGGTAAGATGCCAAATTCATTTTATAGCTTTAATTCTGTGTATGAATTTCCCACTTGTCAGGCATGTCATCTTGGAAGCCGGGAAATACAGTGCTTCTAAGGAACTGGTGCTGGTCCCCAGAAAGGGCTGTCTCTCTTTCCCCTGGCAGAGCTGGAGGAGGGGTGTCCTCCCTGAAGCTTTGACTGGGGGTGGGGGGGTTGCTGGGAGTGGCTGTGGACTTTGTCACAGGAAGCAAGAGCATATAGCAAGGGCACCTGGCATTATATGTGGCATACCTGCTTTCTGCCAAGCACAGCACCGGGCACTTTACCTGCTTGTGCACTCAACCTTATAACCTCCAGGACAGGGCAGCTTTGTTGTTTCCATTCAATAGGGGGTAGTTCCCAGTTAAGTGAAGGTGAGGCATGGTGGCTGGCTAGAGGCCTCCAGCTGGGTGCTGCTCCTGAAAGCAGACTGGTATATCCACTGCAGCTGGTGGGCCCTACCTGCTAGTGACACTGCCTGGCCTCTGTGCTCCTCCTTCAGGGCAAAGACATTTGAGAATGATAGAAAATTCTCCTTCATCTTTGCTTGGTGATTTCTAGTCTCCTAAACATTTTCTTCTTATGCCTTATATGTGACCATTAAATAATTAGGACCTTATTACCCTCACTCCCAGCACTACCAAAGGAAACGTAAGCAAAATAAAATTTAAAAAACCTATGGAGCAAATGAAAACTGTGTCATGTTTTATTCACACCTTATGATTAGGCCTTCTTTCCATTGTGTGTTTTCATAAACACATGCATGTTTCACATGTCCGTTACTTGTCATTCTCTGAATAGGTCTCATACTTTCTTTTACATTCCTTCATTCAAAAAACATATGCCTATTGTCTAAAGTTTGAAACCAGGGTAAAATAAACAAAAACGACGCCATCATTTTTAACATCTTGTTTTTGGCCTATGCTTTCAAAGTGTGTATAGTTGTGTCATATGTATATATGCCTTAAAATAATTAAGGTTGTATCACAAGCCTTTCCCAGGGTTTAAAACTTCCCCATAAGAACACTTTCTAATGGCTACATTCCTGTGTGATATGTACCATCATTTATTTAAACATTATTCAATGACTGGATTGCTAGACTGTTTATAATAACACTTTGAAGAATATCTTTGAGCATAAACCTTTGCCCACATTTCAGATTATTTTCATAGGATAGATTCCCAGAAGTGGAATTACTGAATCAAAGAGTATAAACATTTTAAAAGCCCTTGATACATATTGCCAAATTGCTTTCTAGAAGTTAATCCAATTTACACTCTCACCAGCTGTGTTCATACAAGCCCTCCCCTCTTACTACATCCTGGCCAACCCTGAATATTAGCATGGT